TGACTGCGATGACATGACGGTCTCCAGCACCCTGCTGAAAGGAGGAGGGGGGCTGGCGAATTGGAGAGTGTAACCTTTCTTTATTAATCTCGCCATCCACTCGTTCATGCGCAGATTTTGCCACGCGCAGCAACGCTCTAAAGCGGGCGAGCAAAAATCTGAGGGGCCTCTGTGGACATTTCTGACAGCCAGAGAAGAGCCCTCTCCGCCGCCGTGTGAGCTGCAGAGCCGCCCGACACGGCCCATGGGAGGGCTGAGGTGAAAGGGCTGCGGCGGCGATAGTGTGAAACACTCGGGCCGCTCATTCTCAGTGTCAGACTCGTGCCACGGTGAAAAACCTCCACTAACACACACTGAAGGGTGAGAGGTGGGGAGGCCGCAGAGAGGCAGGGAGTGTGGGTGGGCTGTTGTGTTTATCTGATGTGAATGTTTTTCACTCATGATAATATGAGAGAGGGACAACAGCGGCTCAACAACTGAAGCAGCGTGTGCGTGCGCAGCGAAGCTTGCTTGTGTGTGGGAGACGTGTGTTTCATCATCTGCAGGAAGCTCAGGGGAGAGAGGGGCAGGCTGACTGTTAGGAACATGCTCTTTATGGACGTTTGGTTGGCTCTGAAAAGAGCCGTTGTGTCCGGCTGTTCCGGGAAGAAAACACACGTCCCCCGCGTCCTGTCAATACCTCCGCTGTTTGCGGGGAGGCTCGGCGGGGGGGTTGGACCAGGAGCAAGCCGCTCGCCTGTTCTTTGACGGCAGCCGCAGCAGTGGCCGCGGGGCGCCTCGGCCTGGGGCGGGAGTCGCGGCGATCACGCCGGGAGCCCTGTGAGCGCCGTGGGTGTTGAGGTGGCGCTCTGCTCCACGCTGTGTGCCGCTTCACCTTGTCCGCCTCGTCCGAAGCTTGCTGCAGGTGTGTGATTGCATCCTGGAGGAGCGGCCCAAACAGCCCATCGGGGCTGATGGGGCCGTCCAGCAACACTTTCCTGATCTGCTCCGGCAGATCGGACATGTGCAGCCACATGTTGCGTTGCAGCATCGTCATCCACGCCATATCCGGGACAGGCCGACCGCCGCCGCAGAGGAGAGCGACAAAATGGCGGCCGTGTCTTTCCCAAACTCGCTGGCGAGCTCGGGGGAAAGGGCGTCGGGCTGAGCAGCAACAGATGACATGGACGAGGCCAGCAGCGATATGTTGTTGATGGCGGCTGCTACCTGGGCGGCACACTGGTGGGAGCGGTCGGTGACTCGAGCCGTCACCTGGTCGCGGGCGGAGGGCGGAGTCGGCTTCCTCCTGCCGAAAAAAGTGGCTTTAGGCAGCAGGATGGCTGCCAGGCTGGGCTCCAGAGGTGGAACAGAGAGAAACCCACGGTCAGTGAGGCCCTCAAACTTCGTGAAGTTGACGTACCTCGCCACCGGCGCCTTCAGCTTCCCAGGCTCGGCCCCCGCTTCGGAGAGAAAAGGCTGAAGCGGTGGAAAAAGGGGCCACACAGGAACCTGTTTGGACGCTTGCTCTGGCTGGTAGATGTTGCCGAGCATGGCGCTAGGAGCAGGTGCAGGAGGCTCAGCAGGCATCTGCACGCCCTTGAGCTCAGCATCCATCTTGATTATGTTGGGGAGATCCCGGAAGAGAGCCCCGCAGGACGGCAAGCTGGAAGGCGGAAGTGGAGCAGGAGCTAGCGACGCCGCCTTCTTATCCAGCTCCAAGTCAAACTCCAGGTCTTCCAGCGGGAAGAGGGGAGAGCCTGGCGGGGAGCCAGCAATGGAGGGAGCAGAGTCAGAGGACTCGAGCCCTGCATCGCCAGCAGTCCCGCCGGCGAGGTCCGCCGTGAAGCTAACTGGCTTAGCCCAGCTAGCTTCGTCGTCCCTCCTCCTCCTGCGTCGACCCGCCGTCGCTTCTCCTCCACGGGCAGCTGTGCGCAGTAGGGGCGCGAGGCCCGGGGAGTCAGAGCCAGGCCGCGTGGAGATCAAACCCCATGATGTAGCCGGCGTGGCAGGACGGGCAGAGGCGGACTCCTTCCGAGCGGCGGACCTCAACGGTAGAGCGGTGAGTAGCCATAGGAAAAGCTCTTTAGTCAGGAAAATTGCTCTTTAGATGCTACTCTGCTCTCCGAAATGACTGCTATGCAGCGCTGAAGAAAAAAAGGGGAGCAGATCTCTGGTCTCGCCGGTATTATATACCTAAATTGCGGACCTGAGAGAGGCCCGTGCATGGCACATGGGCGCGAAAGAAATCTTCAGGACTGCGCATGCGCGCGGGGATGAACCCAATAGCGACAGCTCTTAGAGGGCGAAGCCTATACGAAATAGAACAGGGGATAGCCTATTTGAACCAGAGGAGCTTGAAGGCGGTCCTGCAGGCAGCTCAGGGATTGGAGTAGGGTTGTTGCGCCGCTCCAATTGGGGATCTCAGATGTGGGAGGTGGGACCAGCCAGAACTTCCTCAGAACCAGCCAATCCCCAGTCGGGAATCTCACAGCCTCATTAACATACAGGGAAAAATAGCTGCAACAGTAAAATATATAGAAGGCTGCTCTCAGTAGCTGTAACAAGTAGTGATGTGCGATACCTTAATTCCTGTACGATCCAATAACAAGTAATATCCAGGCTGGTATTGCCGATAGCGATACCAATACTTTTTACATATTTTATTTAAAGTTTAATGAATTAGTGCGCCGGTTCCACTGGCAACACAACTCATAGTAGGTCTACCGCCGAAGAGAGAGCGGGAGCGGGGCGATGGAACGGACAGGGCGAGAGAGAGGGGGTCATGGGAGCGAGGGGGAGATGTGATGTGATGTTCCCCAGTCTCACCTTCTGACTCCTGTCAGCCAGGCAGTTTGTGATCCACTGACAGGTGGAGGCACAGTGAGCTGGTTGAGTTTGGTGCTGAGGATGTCCGGGATGATGGTGTTGAACGCCGAGCTGAAGTCCACAAACAGGATCCTTGCATATGTCCCTGGAGAGTCGAAGTATTGCAGGATGTAATGCAGTCCCAAAGTGACTGCATCATCCACTGACCTGTTAGCCCTGTAGGCAAACTGCAGGGGGTCCAGCAAGGGGCCTGTAATGTCCTTCAGGTGGGCCAACACTTTTAGAAGACTTCATGACTACAGATGTCAGGGCGACAGGCCTGTAGTCATTTAATCAAGAGATAGAGGGTGTTTTGGGGACCGGGATGATTGTGGAGCGTTTGAAGCAGGAGGGAACTTCACATAGCTCCAGTCATCTGTTGAAGATCTGTGTGAAGATGGGGGCCTGGTCTGCACTGATTTTCCGGCCGGGTGGTGACACAGTCTCTGGACCAGGAGCCTTCCTGATCTTCTGCCTCTGGAAGAGCTGGCGCACATCCTCTTGACAAATCGTGAGTGCAGGTGAGGGGTCGGAGAGGGTGGCAGTGGGGGAAGGTGACTGTTTGAAGTTGAAGTTGGAATGGGTGAGAGGTGTGACTGTGGGCTTCTCAAACCTAACAAGATTCAACCAAGTCCAGTTGCCCTTGACTTTAACCTTCGTTGGATAACTATGATCTGGATGACTGAGAATCTTCACAGACATCTCAAACCTACTGTTGGGCCTCACAGTCTGGTAGAACAAAGACCGGACAGCTCGTCAGCCAGTCGTTGAGTACCAGCCGTGTTGGGGAATGGTCTCCTGTAGTTAGTGAGTGCCTCTCAACACTGATGCAGGGTTGGTGGCTATGAAACTGTTTTCTAGCTTTCAGCGTAGCTCTTCTTTATTGCTTTGACCTCTATAATCAGTGTGTTCCTGGCCCGGTTGTACAGGACTCTGTTCCCACTTCTGAAGGCCTCCTCTTTGGTCTGACGAAGCTCCCTGAGTTTCTATGTGAACCAGGGTTTTTGGTTGTTGTATGTGCGGAAGGTTTTAGTCGGCACACACGTCCTCGCAAAAACTGATGTAGGATGTCACAGTGTCAGTTATTTCGTCCAGGTCAGTGGCTGCAGCCTCAAAAGCACTTCAGTCAGTGCAGTCAAAGCAGCTCGTTTTGAATACACTTTAGTCACCATTTACAATCATTGTTCAAAGACAACAGCAAACGGTAACTACAAAACAAATGGTAATCTTATCTGGAGTTTTAGCATACACTCATTGACTCTTCCTGAGCTGACAAAAGACATGCAAATGTATGTATATAGCCAAAGGTGTTTCCATGGTCCCCATAGGATCAACAGTTGTCTGTGTTTAAATCTCACCTAGGCTACATGTATGAAGCGTTTCTATTGTAAAAACGTGACCTTTTCAATAATCAATAATCAAAATGTTAATATTGTGGCTCTTACTTTAAAAATGTTACATTGTGACCGAAACTTATTTCCTAAAATAAATATAGTGAGTACTAATATAAAAATCTACAATTTAATTTTTTTTCTCTCACAATGCAATAACTATAACCCATTATTCTGTATGGCAGGGAAATTTGGGGACCACAACTAAATAATGAATTTGACAAATGGGACAAAACAATTGTAGAATCTTTCCACAGCGAGTTCTGTAAGAGCATCCTACAGGTGCAGAGAAAAACACCAAATAATCTGTGTAGAGCAGAGCTCGGCCAATAATTAAATTTTACAATCACTTAAAATCAGTTAACCCCCAGACATATCATCACAAAGCCCTAACATACCAGGAGCTGAAACCAGAGAAGAGTCCCATCAGCCAGCTGGTCCTCAGGCTCTCTGCAGTAACAAGTCCCCAACAGCCTCAGGACAGCAACACCAACTCAAGCAGACCAAATTATCAACAAGCAAAAAGAATAAATATACTGAATACTGGCAAGAAACAACCAAAACACAAAGCAAATTACAATGTTATCTGACCCTAAAAAGAGAATTCACACTGGCAAATTAGCTGAGCACAGTAAACTAAGAAAAGTGTTGACAACATACAGCCTGGCCTTAGAAAAGGGCTACCAGAAGAAGAGAGACTGCTCCCAGTTTGACAGAGAACATGTAGAGACAGAGCTGCACTTTCTAACCTCATGTCCTAAATATAAAACCTTAAAAGAAAAACACTTCCCAAACATTTCCCAAATCTACCTCAAGTTCAAATTATATCAGACAGACAGAAACTCTCTTATTTACTTTGGAAAATGCCCAAATGCCAAATCATGGCAGCAAAATTTATCTCCTCATACTACAAACTGAGGACAACCAGTGGAAACTCATTATTATTATTAGTTTAATTATTGTTTGTAATTTTAAAAGAGAGAGGCTAAGCATTTGGTCAAAAAAATAATTCACTTTTAAACCTGATTTGATGTTTTATGAATTCTAATTATATGCAGGTTTAATGAAAGAGGTTAATTGAGCCTCATTTTGTCGTCTCTCCCATCAGTTAGACTCTGGTCCTGTGTATGAGAACATCTCAGACTTTAAGAGCGTCACTGCAGCACAGACAGAAGACACAGAGCAGCAGGAAGACATGGTGTGAAGTCCAGTCAGGTTAGAGCCTCCTGCATCAAAATAAAACAGGCCGACTTCAGATTTACAGTTAAATTTAAAACTCTAACTTTACACAAGTTTTATGTGATTTTCTTCAGATGCAGTTGAACCAGACTCATGGAAACAAAGTAGGACGACTGAAATATCAACGCGGAGATCGAAGCTGTGGAGGAAGTGGATCCATTTACCTACAACTCCAAACGTTTTCCTTTTCAGTTTCCAGTAGCAGCAGCAGGGTGGAGTCAGCAGCACAGACAGCAGCCGCATGTAGCAGAAAGTTTAGAAGAAGGTGGTGTTGGCAGGTTGAACTGAATCATGTCGACGTTTCAGACGTGATTTATTGTTTAGATCAGCGGATAGTCAGGTTGTCTGTGACTTATCTTACTGCTTAAACTATAATGTAAGCTTATTATTTCCAGTTAGTTATATTAGTTAGTTATATTACAGAATGTGAGGACTGAACTGTGAAGTTTTTATGGAAAATGTTATTTTGAACTGAACAAAATAAACAACTTCTGTGTTTGCACCTGTCCTGGTTGAAGTCTGTTCAAAACAGGGACAGTGAACTGAAAGCATCACATTTAACTCCATATACACTATTTCACACATTGCAAGTAGCACACTTTGCTAGATGTTACTTTTTCTAAGAATTCCTGTGGCTGATTCAAATAACAGCCAGCTTCCACAACAAGTGATGGACCTGTTGGACAACTCTGTAGTTGGAAACATTTGTGTGATAAAGGTTTGGATTTCAGCTTGTCTGCTAATTTTTCATAACACAATTTTATTTACCAGCTTTAAATAAAATTCAAATGTGTTCTTTTGCTTTGGCTTATTCTTCACATTCTCAGTTCTTGTCACTATGAGGATGAAATGTGCCACAGTGTAATAGATGATTTGGGATGTTGCTGATATGAGGATGCACAGACAGTTTAATGAAGAGGAGCTTAACCTAAATTTGAGCTGCAAATGTCAATTTAGTCCATTTTTGGTGTCATATATGGGAGCAGAGCGGGTTGAGGTTAACTAAATGTGAAGCCTTTCAGAATAAAAGCCCATCATTGATAGTTTATGCAAAACCAATCACAAAATCTAAAGTTTGTTGCTATTGTGATATGTCAAAGACGTTGGTCCCAAATGTCTGCATTGACACTTTCTGAACTTTATCTGGACCTCTAATACTTAATGAATTAAATGTCCAGGGTAAACGAGCTAAAATGCAAATAGCTTTGGGTAGAAGTGAAAATAAAGCAACAAAGGTAGATTTGAGTAAACATTCAGTGATGGATGGTAAAATGTTTTAGCGTCCTGATTCAGTATCTGTGATGTTTCACTGCCCTCTAGTGGGAAAGCTTAAGTGTGGCACGTTAAAGCTTCCTCACTCTGAGAGCTCCCTCCACTGTCTGTTTCAAAGAGTCACTTCACCCAAATTACAAGAAGACATATTTTCTGTCTTACCTCCAGCAGCATCTTGTCAGATGTGCTCTGTGTTACAGTGACACAGAGTCAGAATGACTGTGAGTGAGAGAGCTGCAAAATGTAATTCATTGTTTCTGATCTACTTTTCTTACACTTTTTGCATCCCATACTTCTGCAGTCCATCTTTAAACTTATACTGGTATAAAGGTTATTTCACTGTCTAAAGATGCACTAGACGTGTCAAGTGAGCATCAAACCAACTTAAACACCTTTCTTGTTTTTGCGCTTGTTTTTTGAATAGTCTTTTCTTAAACAGGTTTGATACCAACAGTAATATTATTTTCTTATTCTCTTATTAAATTTATAGTTGTAAAATGTCAAACTTTATTTTGATATGGTGTTAATTTGCATTCAGCTCATCATGTATATTAGTAATCTAAAGAGGAAGGAAATCTAGTTGTCTAACAGCCTGACATCCGTCTTTTGCTCACTGACCACAGAGGAAAGGTATCTTTAAAGACAGCGTCCTTCTTCACTGTAAGTAGAATTATTTATTGATGAGATTGATACTGTATATCTCCTGTGTACATTATTTTATCTGCTGACATGTTTTATTGTCTCTGAAGCCACACAGAGAGATGAGAGGAGCAAATATGAGTTTAACTGCAGCAGCGAGAGGATTTGTCGTCTTCCTTCTCTCTGTGTCAGGTACTGTTATATCTAAACTTACATTCATTGCAATAAAAGAGGGAATATGTGAAAATGCTGGTCTTGTAAAAGTAGGCTGAAGGTCACATGTAGAAATAAGTGGCTTAGAGTTGTGTGAAAGGCAAACCCAGAAAAGCTAGAAAAAATTAGTTTTAATTTACAGTTGTGGAAACTCCCCAGATGTTAATGTTTTTTAATATAGTTGTTTGTGTTTGTGTACATTTTATTGGATATTAGAAAGTTTGCTGTGGCCAATTTCTTTTGCTTTGTCCTTTGCAAAAAGTAGGCTACCTGTGTGCTAAGTACTTTTACATGCTGTAAACTGAGAATATCGTGGTTTTTAATTGTGACTCTTTAAAAACAAATTGTCCTGTTTAATTTGCTCTATCGCTGAGCCTGCAGCTGCTTTTATCACAGTATAGTTTTTGGAGGTATATTGGTCTCACAGTGAAGTCATCACAGACAGACTTCTCTCAAATATTCATACATCTGCACCAAACCCTGCTAGTTCCTTTTGTAATGTCTGACATCAGTGTGATGTTTCCATGTTCAGCGTCAAAAACGGTTTTTAGCTTTTATCTTTTGTTTATATCATAACTGCCATAAACAATCTCTCACACCTCAGTGTTCTGCATTTATTTTTAGCTTTCACACTTACGCAGCAACCTGACCACACAATGAACAGAGAGAACTGACCAAGAAAAGCACAGACTCTCCCATAACTGATACAGTATTTCTCCTCTTACTTTGGTTAGTAGTGTTGTAGTCAAGACCAAGAACAAAGTTTATATAGACAGAGTCAAAATCAAACATTTATTGAACATTTGTATTATTGTTATTGAGGAAAAATACTGTAATTATCATTATTGTTTTATTACACAATACAATTTTTTGTGCAAGCATTAGGTTTTCAGGTTACTCTTGTCTTCCGTATTTGATCCTTCATTTTGATCTGCAACTGTGTATTCAAACTCAAAATTAGCTCTTTTAAAGTAAAGTGCCGTGTGCTTATGGCCATACAGAGAAACCTATTTAATATGTACATTTTCCATAGAAGTGGAGGAGTGTTACTTGGTCTCCACTCCCTGCCGTCACATCTCAAAGCTAACTCTCTCACACAAATGAGGAAGCGGTACCACAGAGTGCAGCTTTAATGTCCGGAGCTGCGTGCAGCTGACAGTAGCTAACGGTGATGTTACTTAACTTACACATTAGCAACATAGCTTTTTGTGGCCTGTCTCATCATTGTTTATCACAAGCAAAACTGTATCTTAGGAACAAGTTGTCACCCCATGCCCTGTCCTCAGTCTCAAACTAACTAACTTCATTAGCTACTTCCCTCAACAGATTGCTGTGTGTTTTCTTCTGGACGCTGTTTGACAGATTCATTCTTTATGGTTTATGCAGCTAAATGTTATTACGAAGATTTTGCTGACATATCTTCCTGCTCCCAGAAAGCCACAGCTTCGCCTGTCTCCCCCATTCACTTTCTTGTGTGAGTGCGTGTGAAGGAGGGCGGGGAGGGGTGACAGCCATTAACAGTAACAACTGCGTTTTTAATTAGCGTTATTGGTTGCATTTGAAGCAATACGTTTTACATCAAAAGTTAGTATATTAACAAATAAATCAGACAACATTCAGGCAATATATTGATATTTCCAAAGTTCAGGTCTTGACTGCTCTTGAAATAATCCAGAGTCGAGAACAAGAACAAATGCAGTCAATCCCGAGAGGGGACCGAGACCATCAAAAGGTGGTCTTGAGACCAAGACCGGTCTTGTGTACTACAACACTACTGGTCATTGTCGGAAAGAACAATACAAAACAGCCCTATGGATGCATTTTGTTGAGATCCTCAAATCTTTAACATCTGGAAGAACAAATATTTCTGGGTCCCAACAACGAAGAAGTAGCTTGTCGACGCTGCATGAGCTGCTCTCCCTCTCTGTCGCGCTCCTCGACCTCTCGTTTCTACTGCCACCACCTCAACAGAGAGGAGCAGACACACCTACAGGCAGGAGAAAAGCGTCTCCCCACAGATCATCACACAAGGTGATGGTCTTTTCAACTTCATTGTTGCAGAAGAAGTGACGCCCACTTTCCCAGGGAGACATAAACAGCTGTGAATAGAAAAGAGCAGAGGAGCACAATCACTTAGAGAGTAGCCTGGCTGAGGGGAAGAAGGAGGTGAAATGCTACCTCCATTTTGTTTGGAGCATGAGGCCAGGAATTACACACTGTATGTTTAACTTATTGTTAAATGCAGTTGTTTATTTTGGTTGTAATTCCTGATGTGCTCTGTGTTACAGTGATTCAGGGCCAGAACAGCTGGGGAGTGACTTACACCTCTACTCAGATCTGTGCCTTAAAAGGATCAACAGTGGAAATAAGCTGCACCTACAGATACCCATCCAGAATAAATGACAGTGATACTACAGTTGAGGAAACATTCTGGTTTACTAAATTGCAAGATAAAGAACAGTTGCATCTGAAAACAGACTGGTTTAAAGGTGATGAAACTGTGGATCTGAAAACAAAGTCAGAGTATTCAGGTCGTGTCGAGTATACCTGTAATGAAAACTTCTGCTCTCTGAGAATCACAGACCTGAGAGAGAGCGACTCAGCTGAGTACAAGTTCAGGTTCATAACAAACCAACCAGGTGGGACATATACTGGTTCACCTGGAGTCACTCTGTCTGTCACAGGTAACATTTTCATCTGAATATTTATTAGTTTAGCTTCAAGTGATCAACAAGATGACTTGCATCTGTGTGTGTTGACAGTTCACTTTAAAATGAAGATTTCTGTTCCTTATTCACATATTCAGATCTCCAGGTGCAGGTGAGCAGATTACGGGTCTACCAGTCTTATAACTGGGCAGAGATGAATTGTCACAGCAGTTGTCGTCTACATGGTCAGATTGACTACATCTGGTTTATCAAGGGAATGTATGTTAGCAGAGGAACATCTTATTCACGCTACTTGTATCCTGAAGAAGCTGTTTCCTGTGGTGTAGAAGGACATGAGGACTTCTCTTCTCCTTCAGTGTGTGAGTTTACATTCCCTGACATGACACCAACAAGGTCGAGCTTTTAACCTATTGTACTGTACATATGCTGCATGTTACTCAGTGTAGAATTGGATAAAACCAAATCATTTACCCATGATATTGTAGACATGTTACATAATAATTTCTTATTTCCTCTCTTCACTACAAAAGCACTGAATATTTTGCAAAATAACATTTGTCATCATGTCATTGGTTCACAAAATATTGTGACCACCATCATAGACATTCTCTGATTGTGTTTATTCTGCAATCTTGACCCTTAATTTCAGATGCAACATCCTTCTACCTTGGTATTTCAAATATGAGCCCTACAGTAACATGATATCTTGGAATGGCGTATAAATAGCACGCCACTTTTAAAGACACCTTAGATGCACCCTAATTGCCAATGCACACACACACTTTACAGAAACTGCAGTCAAAAAAATGAATGAAAGAAAATTATCGAAGAAACTTCTGAAAGACGTGAAGATTACCTCTCCTTCAGCGTGTCTTTCCACCACTGCTTCAGTAACAAAGTGTGCAATTAGAATTCAAGGTACAGGACACCATGTAGTTTCTAATACAAGAGGAAATCAAGCCACTCATTGTGTTTGTTACAAGTTAGAAAGGAAAACAATGATACAAAACAACATCATACTGAACTTCTGCTCTATCCCAGAAAAGTGTGTAATATATCATTTTATACATTTTTTTGTTTGGAAGACTTTTTATAAGATGCACTTTTCAGGCAACACCCGGAGTAACAAATATTTCTGTGTCCCAGTGATGATAAAATATGATAAATACCTGATAAAATTCCAGTTGAGTAGTTAGATAGATGCATGATTATGAACTGTTATGTCAATAACTGCAGATTATCAGTCAGATAATTGAGCTTGTCCAGGTCTCCTTTCCACAAATCATATCAGTAGTTTGATCCTCTTTGTCTTATTAACTGAATGTTAAATGAAGTTATTCATTTTGATTGTTATGTCTGATGTGCTCTGTGTTACAGTGGTACAGAGCCTGTTTGGCTGGGGAGTGACTTACAATTCTACAGAGATCTGTGCCTTAAAAGGATCAACAGTGGAAATAAACTGCACCTTTAGATATCCATTCCTTATTAATGACGATTATACTACAGTTGAAGAAAAATTCTGGTTTAAAGGTGATGAAACTGTGGATCTGAAAACAAAGTCAGAGTATTCAGGTCGTGTCGAGTATACCTGTAATGAAAACTTCTGCACTCTGAGAATCACAGACCTGAGAGAGAGCGACTCAGCTGAGTACAAGTTCAGGTTCATAACAAACCAACCAGGTGGGAAATATACTGGTTCACCTGGAGTCACTCTGTCTGTCACAGGTAACATTTTCATCTGAATATTTATTAATTTAGTTCCAAATGTTCAACATCTTATGAAGGTTACTGTGTGTGTGTGTGTGTGTGTTGACAGTTGAGTCTAAAATGAAGACATCTGTTCCTCTTTTATTTATAGATCCTTCTAGTTCGGTATTTTCCAATATGTGCCTTAGATGGACCCTCAAAACACACACACACACACACAAACACACATCTTAAAATGACATGAAGATTACCACTCTCTTTTAAACGTCTTCTTTGCATTAGTAATAAAGTGTCCAACAGGACAACATGTAATTTCTGATACAGGAGGAAATCAAGCTGCACCTCCACTTTGAGTTCGTCCCTTTAAAATGCTCCACTGTGAAAACTCAACCTCATACTGAAATTAAATGTGTTCATGTTTTCTTCTCCAGATGCTCCAAAGCTTCCCTCTGTGTCACTGAGTCCCTCTGCTGAGATAGTGGAGGGCAGTTCAGTGACTCTGACCTGCAGCAGTGATGCTAACCCAGCAGCTAAACACACCTGGTACAAGGAGAATGGAAATCCAAACCTTCATCCTCTAAGTAAAGAACCACAGCTTGTCTTCAGGTCCATCCAGTCCTCTGACTCTGGAGAATATTACTGTGTAGCAGAAAACAAGCTGGGGAGGAAGACATCTGAATTTGTCTTTATCAATGTGAAATGTGAGTAAACTGCAGCTAACTTTAGGATCATACCATTTTTCTATATGGGGGTGCCCAACGTCTGATTTTACATAGAACTAGAACTTTTTCCAAATACATTTAGCTGGAAAGAAAAGTACTTCCTGGATTTTGTTACATGGCATCATTTTTTGTGTTGTAGGAAGGACTACCTTTTTTAACCCCGTGCAATTACATTACAGTATCAACATGAGTCATCTGCAGAAAAGTATAAATATATGTATTGTAACCCTAACCCTGGGTCGTCAGTGCGCATGTGTAGGTGTATTGTGTATGTGTGTAGTGGCAGAGGAGGAACACTTGCTGAAGAGACCAGTGGCGTGGGGTGGGGTAGCCTAACCTGGCCCAGGGCCCTGTGGCAGGTGCTGTCCAGAGCTCATTATCTATGCGTACACAACCGCAGTAAAAACAATAAGGTTACTTCAGCTGACTATTCATTCAGCAGCTAACTCCAGGCAAGCAAAGCAAAACAAACAATGTAACCACATCAAAAATCACACACACACAGTTGCAGTTCAGTTAAGTTCATGGAGAGAAGGAGGTGTCATTTCACTCACCCTATTTGAAAAGGAAGGGCATTCTCCTGTCTGTCATGGTGGCGAAGTGGTCAATAACCAAGTTATAGAATTTCCCACTGCAACAGAGTCAACTGAAGTTTGGCGCTACCAGCTAGCCACTCTGTACGGATGTAGTTTTCCTCACTAAACGTCCGAAACCCCTTTTTCCTCTCCAGGCCAGCTCCAGTTTTGGCGTTGGTCTTCCATCAGATTTAATCTTAAATTGCTGCTGTAGTGGTAGTTTAATAAAGCTATTTATTATAACTAAACCTCCAAATCTCCACCCTCCATAACTGCACCAGCTAAAGTTGCTAACAGCTCCCGTTATTTCATCTGAATGACGTTGATCGCATGCTGTGATTTGACAGGCGTGAAGTCAGACAGCGGCTGGCTTCCCTTGGCATCATCCTGACTAATCACAGATAGGCAGTGGCATGACAGTGGCCTCGTCTGATTGGTTAATCATTTACTTTTTTTTTCACAAAGGGATGCCAACTCTGCCTGGCCTCCCCCGTGTAGTCAGACTGCAGGTCAGTCTACGGTGGTGCAATATAGTGTTTCACCACACATCCAACGCATTTAGAGGGACGCTGTTTCACTTATTGTAAAATACTCAGTGAGAAATGGGGAAGAGATGATAGTAACAGTTCATAAGATTTATGAAAATAAAAACATTGTGTTTTATTAAAATGAGAAATAGTCTGATAAAAACAGGGGAAGCCTGGCTTCCCTTGGCCTCTGGGAGAAAACGCCACTGGAAGAGACGGAGTCCCAGCTTCATTGGTGTTGCGCCGAGTTGTCCGCACCTCGGGCTTTCGGATAATTTATCACCGTTGATGAACCACACAAAGAATATTACATTGTTTTTAAATAGCCGGCTATTTTAGACCCACGAGGAACCGTGACGTGCATTCAGTTGTCGGCAGCACGGCATGCACACAAAACTCTGCACAAGACCAGTGAATGACAGGAGAGAGAGAGAGAGAGAGAGAAAAGGGTCTTCCAAAAGCCTCTGTTTAGCTGGAAATTTACAGTGCAAGTTGAATGAATAGAGACCACTCGCAATCGCCGTGCATAATAACACACATGATTCGACTATGTAAATCCTTTGTTGGGGACAGCCCTACTCCAGTTTTTCCAAAATATTTCAGCATTTTTGGGTGGTATAACCTCCGTTTACTCTAAAACATGTATGAGGGACATTCTTCTGGTCTCTTCTTAGATTTTAATGAGCATAATTCAAGTGGTTCCAACACACACCTCCAAAGTTTTAGATCCCTCATACACATAACTATTACTCATTTCAACAGAAATCTGTCCTCATTTTTGTTCATTTATTTGATCTTCTTCAGATGCTCCAAAGCTTCCCTCTGTGTCAGTGAGTCCCTCTGCTGAGATAGTGGAGGGCAGTTCAGTGACTCTGACCTGCAGCAGTGATGCTAACCCAGCAGCTAATTATACCTGGTACAAGGAGAATGAAGACTCACCAAAAGCATCAGGACAGAACTTCACCATCACTGACTTCAGAGCTGAACACAGTGGGAATTATTACTGTGAAGCCCAGAACAGAAGAGGACGTCATAACTCCACCTTACATCTGATTGTTGTGGCAGGTACGTTTTTGCATTTAGCTGCACACACTCTGAAATGTAAAAGTTTTCATTGAAGGCAGTAAATTGTGGACCTCAGCTGGGGATATTAATAAGGGGAAGAAGCATTTTGAGAAGTTTCTTAACCTGACTGACACGTCCTCTAGATAGGAGGCAGAAAAAAGGAGTGTATGTATCATGGTGAATGGTGCTTCTCTGTGAGCTATAGTGAAAGCACGTAAACTAGAGCACATTCAGACTCTGACACGGCCAGCTGTGCTGAAGAGTTGTTTCTGTCACTGCTTACTGTGTTTTTATTTTAAAATCACAATTCTTCCGCTACACAAAACAGTACTAGTATATCACAATGTGATATACACATTGGGAGAAAGCCTATAGTGAATGTTCACCTTGTTTATAATAATTTTGTTGTTGTCAGTGATTTAAGTGTGTTAGAAGTGTGGTTTTGTGTTCATGTCTTTCTTGTTTAAGTCTGTTTTTGGTTCTGTATTTCTCTGTGTAGTCTTGTTTAGTTAGTTCTTAGTCCTGTGCTTTAGTTCATGTTTAGTGTTTTCTTGGTCGGTGTACTTCTGTGTTTATTATTATGGTCTGTGTCTTGGTCCTTGGTCTTATGCTCCATGTTTTACTTTGGTAAGTCTGTCCTTGTGTGTTCCCGCAAACTTTACTTCCTGTTTTATTTTGTAATCTTAATAATAAAAAATTAATAATGCCTGATTTTCTTGTCTAGCGTTGTTCCTGTTGTTAGTTAGTGTATCGTCTTGATGATCAGTCTACCTCTGCCTTTGTTTTTGTACTTTGGTTCATGGATCAGTGTCTGCTTGTGTTATTTTGGTTCATTCTGTATTCTGTTCTGGTTTCATGATCTGTCTCACCTTCCTGTTTTTTTCTTTCTGCCCTGTTAACTGTGTCTGCCTGCCTGTATCTGATTAGTCCTGATCCCCTCACCTGTGTTGCTCCACCCCGCTCATTAGTCCCTGTGTATATATATGCCTGCTTGTGTTTCCAGTCTTTGTCATGTTCTTGCGTCTAATGTTGAGTGGTCCTGTCTGTTGCTTTGTTTCATGGATCCTTTCCTTGCATTTGGATTGTTTTTCTCTGCCCTGTTCTGGATTTTACTCTGCCTTTTTGGAGATGCCTTTGTTTGGACCTTTTGGCTGCTGTGCTCATGGTTAAGCCTGTTTAAGCTGCTGAATAAATCTTTTGTTTGAACTGTATCCTCCTTGCTGTGATCTGCGTTTGGGTCCTCACCTCAGTCTGCACTCAGCCTCCCCCCCCTTGACAAAGTCCTTTTTAATGTGCATCAGTTACGCTCAATTGAAAGGCATCAGTGACAGCATGGTGGGGCACCAAGGCATTTAGTTTAGGTCTGTGGCATATCTTTCGAGTCCACTTACTGTCCAGACATCATAATCCAGATGAGAAAAGCTCTGACATAATCATACTGTCACTGTGCCATTGCAGCAACAAATTCAATTCAATTCAACTTTATTTATATAGCGCCAAATCACAACAACAGTTATCTCACAGCGCTTTTCATAAAAGAGCAGGTCTAGACCGTACTCTATGATGCTATTTACAGAAGCCCAACAGTTCCCACCAAGAGCAAGCACTAGGTGACAGAGGCAAGGAAAAACTTCCTTTTAAGAGGCAGAAACCTCGAGCAGAACCATGGCTCAGGGTGGGCGGCCATCTGCCTCGACCGGTTGGGGTGAAGGAGAGAGAGAGAGAGGGATGAAATACTCAAATACTTGCAAGTGCTTTGGGGAGATTTTATGCTCTAATTTCTTTCTCTCAGACTACATAGAGTTAAACTGATAAATCATGTGGATCTCTATACTATATATCATTTTGGATAGATATTGCAGCACAAAATATATTAATTTATAAACTGTTGCCATTACATGTTTTCTCCAATGGACAGTACTGTTAAGTTTATTTTTCAACAAAATGTTATGTCATGTATTTATGCAGAAAGGCAAAAATATGTTAGAGGTAACTTTTTGACATTAGCTGATAAACCATAATTGCTGTCGGCCTGAAAAATCCAGTATTGGTCAGGCTTTATACTACATGGGCCCACAGTCTGACAGATATTCCATCTGTTGAGCAGTGTGAAATCTGAGTAAACTGCAACTAACTTTAAAAGCATCATGCAACTTTTGACAACTTTATAAAGCTTGATCCATCCAATTTTTTTTTTTCTGTACCGGCTTCACATTCACATCATGCTGCTGTGGTTCACATAATTTACAAATGGTCTCACAGATCTGCATGGATGTAATCCAGAAAACCACCTCTAAAGTTCCAGATGCTCCCTCAGAAATATACATCCAATGTGGCCACAGGCTTCAGTCTTTCATTAGCCCTGTCTCCTAGAAATAATTTTCATATGCTAGTGGGTTTTCCAAATACATTTAGATGGAAAGAAAATTACTTCCTGGATTTTGTTACATGGAATCATTTTTTGAGTTGTAAGAAGGACTACCTTTTTTAACCCTATGCAGTTACATTACAGTATCAGTATGAGTCATCTGCAGAAAAGTATATCACTCCAGTTAGGGCTGACCCAGAATAGTCGAAAGATTCAATGGTTCGATGGGCTGAGCATGATTCGACTGTCAATCTCACAGTAGAAGCATGCCATTTTGCTCAACGTCTGATTTTTACATAGAACGACCAGTTTTCTCCCAATAATTTTAATATACTGTACAACCTATTAACAATATGCATTTCAATGTTTAATGCTGTAAATAAACATGTAAAAAGAATAAAATTTTCAATAAATGTTAAAGTGTCTAAATAAATCCAAAATTCTAACCCTAACCCTGGGTTGAATAGACTGCAGCTCTGCAGCTTCTCAAGATTAAAGTGGAGCCACCATGCCCCCCCCCCCACCTCCTCCAAAGTTTAAGATCCCTCATACACATAACTATTACTCTTTTCAACACAACACAAATAAATCTTCAGAAGTTTTTTGATAACTCTGCTGTGGTTGGATGTATCAGCAAGGGTGACGAGACTGAGTACAGAGCTGTGGTGGGGGACTTTGTCACATGGTGTGAACTGAGCCATCTGCAGCTCAACGTGACAAAGACTAAAGAGCTGGTTCTGGATCTAAGGAGAGCCAAGGCACCAGTGACCCCTGTTTCCATCCAGGGGGTCCCTGTGGACATTGTGGAGGATTAGAAATACCTGGGAGTGCACATGGACAATAAACTGGACTGGGCCAAGAACACCCAAGCCCTCTACAGGAAGGGCCAAAGCCGTCTCTATTTTCTGAGGAGGCTGAGGTCCTTCAACATCTGCAGAATGATGCTGAGGTTGTTTTATGAGTCTGTGGTGGCCAGTGCTGTCCTGTTTAATGTTGCATGCTGGGGCAGCAGGTTGAGGGTAGCGGACGCTAACAGACTCACCAAACTGATCAGCAAGGCCAGTGACGTTGTGGGGGTGGAGCTGGACTCTCTGTCGGTGGTGTCAGAGAGGAGGATGCTGTCCAAACTATATGTCATCTTGGATGTCTCCCACCCACTCCATGACTTGCTGCTCAAACACAGGAGCACTTTCAGTGCAAGAGTCATTCCCCCAAAATGCACCACAGAGCACCACAGGAAGTCATTCCTGCCTGTGGCCATCAAACTTTATAACTCTTTCCTTTAAGTTTCTGACACTTAGTCAGTTATTAAACTAGACCTCATTACTTATTTTCTGTCCAATATTACATGTTCAATAAGTAAAGTAAAGTATTCTCTGCTGCTATTTATTCACTTGTCCTTTTTGGTTCACCTTAATAACTCTTAATAATGTAAGTATTGTACCTACCCACACACCTTTATATTTGTCTTTATTTATTGTTTTTATATATATATATATATATATATATATATATATTTATAATCTTTGTGTAACTGTGACAAAAGAATTTCCCCTCTGGGATTAATAAAGTATTTCTGATTCTGATTCTGAAATCTGTCCTCATTTCTTTCTCCTCCAGATGCTCCAAAGCTTCCCTCTGTGTCAGTGAGTCCCTCTGCTGAGATAGTGGAGGGCAGTTCAGTGACTCTGACCTGCAGCAGTGATGCTAACCCAGCAGCTAATTATACCTGGTACAAGGAGAATGAAGACTCACCAAAAGCATCAGGACAGAACTTCACCATCACTGACTTCAGAGCTGAACACAGTGGGAATTATTACTGTGAAGCCCAGAACAGAAGAGGACGTCATAACTCCACCTTACATCTGATTGTTGTGGCAGGTAAATTTTTCCACATTCACCTGTATACACAGATGTTTACTGCACCAGACCTGATTCAAATATTAATATGTAAAACCAACACATTGTCACTCCTATAGTTGGTACAACAGAAAAAAAATTCTGTCTGCATTTCAGACTGTTTTTCTGTAGCTGTGACTACAGACAGTATCAACTGGCAAAATGACTTCCCAATCTAATCGTACAAGTAAGGTATATCACATATATATTTTTATTTCTAGGGAATTCAACAATAGTAATGAATATCATCAGGTTGACTCTGGTGGTCTTGATGCTGATTCCTCTGCTTCTCCTGAATCTGTGGACGAGGTAAAACAATCACAATCCATCAGTTCAGTCACCGCTCTTTTATTCTTCAAACTTCCTTTAGTTTTAGTGTTTTGAATTTCATTATTGTTAAAATTTGTATTTGTTGTTGTTGGACTCAATCCAGGAAGAAAAAAACTCGGAGCTCCACCTCTGAACCAAATGAACATGTAGAGACGATAGAGGTGAGAGAGAGGTGCTGTTGACAAAATGTCCCCTAAATCACAGTTATAGTAACTTGGCTCATAAATGCTCTGGAAAGTGTGAAGTGAATTTATGTTTGAAATACAACTTGCTGAGTTGAAACCAGTAATACGTTTACTTGTAAACGTGACTGAATAAATTTTTTATCAAATCTAATTATATTCAGGTTTAATGAAAGAGGTCCATTGAGCTTCATTTTGTCGTCTCTCCCATCAGTTAGACTCTGATCCTGCGTATGTCAGTGTCTCAGACTTTAAGAGCGTCACTGCAGCACAGACAGAAGACACAGAGCAGCAGGAAGACATGGTGTGAAGTCCAGTCAGGTTAGAGCCTCCTGCATCAAATAAAACAGGCTACCTTCAGATTTACAGTTAAATTTAAAACTCTAACTTTACACAAGTTTTATGTGATTTTCTTCAGTTGCAGTTGAAGCAGACTCACCTCATGGTAGGACGGCATTGAAACATCACAGTAGAGCGAGTCTGTGGAGGAAGTGGATCCATTTACCTTCAACTCCAAAAGTTTTCCTTTTCAGTTTTCAGTAGCAGCAGCAGGGTGGAGTCAGCAGCGCAGACAGTCAGCAGCAGCATGTAGCAGAAAATCCTGACGAGTTTCTGTGTGCAGCTATCAAGACAAATAAAATTTAAATGTGTTCTTTGCTTTGGCTTATTGCTCACATTCTCAGTTCTTGTCACTATGAGGATGAAATTTGCCACAGCGTAACAGATTATTATGATTCGGGATGTTGCTGATATAAAGATGCACAGACAGTTTAATGAGGAGGACATTAACTTACATTTGAGCTCTAAATGTCAATTTAGTCCATTTAAACTCTTTGGGGTCATTCATGGAAGCAGAGCAGGTCGAGGTTTACTAAGTGTGAAGCCTTTCAGAACAAGAGCCCATCATTGATAGTTTGTGCAACACCTTAATTATGAGTCTTTGTTCAGCCAAAATAAGTCAATTATCAAAAGTTTGTTGCTATTGCAATATCTAATATGCTGCTCCCCAATGTGAGCTGTTGACACTTTGTGAACTTAATCTGCGCCAATAATACTAAATAAAGTGAATGTCCAGGGTAAAGCTAAAATGCAAATAGTTTCAATAATAAAATGTGAAAATAAAACGCCAAGGTAAATTTCAATTTAACTTAACAATCAGTGATGGATGGTAAAATGTTTCAGCGTCCTGATTCAGTATCTGTGATGTTTCACTGCCCTCTAGTGGTGAACCTTTGTTGTGGCACATTCAGGCTTCCTCACTCTGAGAGCTCCCTCCACTGCCTGTTTCAAAGAGTCACTTCATCCAAATTACAAGAAGACATATTTTCTGTCTTACCTCCAGCAGCATCTTGTCAGATGTGCTCTGTGTTACAGTGACACAGAGTCACAATGACTGTGAGTGAGAGAGCTGCAAAATGTAATTCATTGTTTCTGATCTACTTTTCTTACACTTTTTGCATCCCATACTTCTGCAGTCCATCTCTTTGAACTTATACTGGTATAAAGGTTATTTCACTGTCTAAAGATTCACTGGAAGTGTCAAGTGAGCATCAAACCAACTTAAACACCTCTCTTGTTTTTGCACTTGTTTTTTTGAATGGTCTTTTCTTAAACAGGTTTGATACCAACAGTAATATTATTTTCTTATTCTCTTATTAAATTTATAGTTGTAAAATGTCAAACTTTATTTTGATGTGGGTGTTAATTTGCATTCAGCTCATCATGTATATTAGTAATCTAAAGAGGAAGGAAATGTAGTCGTCCAACAGCCTGACATCCGTTTTTTGCTCACTGACCACAGAGGAAAGGTATCTTTAAAGACAGCGTCCTTCTTCACTGTAAGTAGAATTATTTATTGATGAGATTGATACTGTATATCTCCTGTGTACATTATTTTATCTGCTGACATGTTTTATTGTCTCTGAAGCCACACAGAGAGATGAGAGGAGCAGCTATGAGTTTAACTGCAGCAGCGAGAGGATTTGTCGTCTTCCTTCTCTCTGTGTCAGGTACTGAATATCTAAACTTACATTCATTGCAATAAAAGAGGGAATATGTGAAAATGTATGTCTTGTAAAAGTAGGCTGAAGGTCACATGTAGAAATAAGTGGCTTAGAGTTGTGTGAAAGGCAAACCCAGAAAAGCTAGAAAAATTAGTTTTAATTTACAGTTGTGGAAACTCCCCAGATGTTAATGTTTTTTAATATAGTTGTTTGTGTTTGTGTACATTTTATTTGATATTAGAAAGTTTGCTGTGGCCAACTTCTTTTGCTTTGTCCTTTGCAAAAAGTAGGCTACCTGTGTGCTAAGTACTTTTACATGCTGTAACTGAGAATATCGTGGTTTTTAATTGTGACTCTTTAAAAACAAATTGTCCTGTTTAATTTGCTCTATAGCTGAGCCTGCAGCTGCTTTTATCACAGTATAGTTTTTGGAGGTATATTGGTCTCACAGTGAAGTCATCACAGACAGACTTCTCTCAAATATTCATACATCTGCACCAAACCCTGCTAGTTCCTTTTGTAATGTCTGACATCAGTGTGATGTTTCCATGTTCAGCGTCAAAAACTGTTTTCAGATTTTATCTTTTGTTTATATTATAACTGCCATAAACAATCTCTCACACCTCAGTGTTCTGCATTTCTTTTTCGTCTTCACACTTACGCAGCAACCTGACCACACAATGAACAGAGAGAACTGACCAAGAAAAGCACAGACTCTCCCATAACTGATACAGTATTTCTCCTCTTACTTTGGTTAGTAGTGTTGTAGTCAAGACCAAGAACAAAGTTTATATAGACAGAGACAAGAGCAAGACCTTTAGGGGCTGAGACCAAGTCGAGACCAAGACCAGTTCCCCACATTACATGACACATAATAAAATGTGGAACGAGATCACAGGTACTGTACTTCTCAAATTGTTCTAAAAGATCCACATTCCCTTTAAAACACCCACATACAAACACTAAGAACACAATAAATGTCAAATTAGTTCTTATTTCTTTCATATTTAAAGGCAGATGGTAATTGTGGTTTTAAACTATTCTTTATGGTCAGAACAAACACTTGATGCCAAACAGTGGATCACTTCACAAATCTGAGGTTTTTTCAACAAACATGCACAAGTTAAATTAAGTTAAAAAAATTCAGTCCCTTTTCATCAAGAAACATACAAAACAAATATCTTAATAGTAAAATTAAGTGTGAATTCATTTGTGATTCAAATGAATAAAATCAAACATTTATTAAACATTTGTATTATTGTTATTGAGGAAAATTACTTTAATTATCATTATTGTTTTATTACACAATACAATTTTTTGTGCAAGCATTAGGTTTTCAGGTTACTCTTGTCTTCCGTATTTGATCCTTCATTTTGATCTGCAACTGTGTATTCAAACTCAAAATTAGCTCTTTTAAAGTAAAGTGCCGTGTGCTTATGGCCATACAGAGAAACCTATTTAATATGTACATTTTCCATAGAAGTGGAGGAGTGTTACTTGGTCTCCACTCCCTGCCTCAAAGCTAACTCTCTCACACAAATGAGGAAGCGGTACCACAGAGTGCAGCTTTAATGTCCGGAGCTGTGTGCAGCTGACAGTAGCTAACGGTGATGTTACTTAACTTACACATTAGCAACATAGCTTTTTGTGGCCTGTCTCATCATTGTTTATCACAAGCAAAACTGTATCTTAGGAACAAGTTGTCACCCCATGCCCTGTCCTCAGTCTCAAACTAACTAACTTCATTAGCTACTTCCCCCAACAGATTGCTGTGTGTTTTCTTCTGGACGCTGTTTGACAGATTCATTCTTTATGGTTTATGCAGCTAAATGTTATTACGAAGATTTTGCTGACATATCTTCCTGCTCCCAGAAAGCCACAGCATCGCCTGTCTCCCCCATTCTCTTTCTTGTGTGAGTGCGTGTGAAGGAGGGCGGGGAGGGGTGACAGCCATTAACAGTAACAACTGCGTTTTTAATTAGCGTTATTGGTTGCATTTGAAGCAATACGTTTTACATCAAAAGTTAGTATATTAACAAATAAATCAGACAACATTCAGGCAATATATTGATATTTCCAAAGTTCAGGTCTTGACTGCTCTTGAAATAATCCAGAGTCGAGAACAAGAACAAATGCAGTCAATCCCGAAAGGGGACCGAGACCATCAAAAGGTGGTCTTGAGACCAAGACCGGTCTTGTGTACAAGTTCAGGTTCATAACAAACCAACAAGGTGGGACATATACTGGTTCACCTGGAGTCACTCTGTCTGTCACAGGTAACATTTTCATCTGAATATTTATTAATTTAGTTCCAAGTGTTCAACATCTTATGAAGGTTACTGTGTGTGTGTGTTGACAGTTCAGTCTAAAATGAAGACATCTGTTCCTCTTTTATTTATAGATCCTTCTAGTTCGGTATTTTCCAATATGTGCCTTAGATGGACCCTCAAACCACACACACACACACACACACCTTAAAATGACATGAAGATTACCACTCTCTTTTAAACGTCTTCTTTGCATTAGTAATAAAGTGTCCAACAGGACAACATGTACTTTCTGATACAGGAGGAAATCAAGCTGCACCTCCACTTTGAGTTTGTATGAAATATTGTCCATTTAAAATGCTCCACTGTGAAAATTCAACCTCATACTGAAATTAAATGTGTTCATGTTTTCTTCTCCAGATGCTCCAAAGCTTCCCTCTGTGTCAGTGAGTCCCTCTGCTGAGATAGTGGAGGGCAGTTCAGTGACTCTGACCAGCAGCAGTGATGCTAACCCAGCAGCTAATTATACCTGGTACAAGGAGAATGACGACTCACCCAAAGCATCAGGACAGAACTTCACCATCACTGACTTCAGAGCTGAACACAGTGGGAATTATTACTGTGAAGCAGAGAACAGAAGAGGACGTCATAACTCCACCTTACATCTGATTGTTGTGGCAGGTACGTTTTTGCATTTAGCTGCACACACTCTGAAATGTAAAAGTTTTCATTGAAGGCAGTAAATTGTGGACCTCAGCTGGGGATATTAATAAGGGGAAGAAGCATTTTGAGAAGTTTCTTAACCTGACTGACACGTCCTCTAGATAGGAGGCAGAAAAAAGGAGTGTATGTTTCATGGTGAATGGTGCTTCTCTGTGAGCTATAGTGAAAGCACGTAAACTAGAGCACATTCAGACTCTGACACGGCCAGCTGTGCTGAAGAGTTGTTTCTGTCACTGCTTACTGTGTTTTTATTTTAAAATCACAATTCTTCCACTACACAAAACAGTACTAGTATATCACAATGTAATATACACATTGGGAGAAAACCTATAGTGAATGTTCACCTTGTTTATAATAATTTTGTTGTTGTCAGTGATTTAAGTGTGTTAGGAGTGTGGTTTTGTGTTCATGTCTTTCTTGTTTAAGTCTGTTTTTGGTTCTGTGTTTCTCTGTGTAGTCTTGTTTAGTTAGTTCTTAGTCCTGTGCTTTAGTTCATGTTTAGTGTTTTCTTGGTCGGTGTACTTCTGTGTTTTATTATTATGGTCTGTGTCTTGGTCCTTGGTGTTATGCTCCATGTTTTACTTTGGTAAGTCTGTCCTTGTGTGTTCCCGCAAACTTTACTTCCTGTTTTATTTTGTAATCTGCCTGATGTTCTTGTCTAGCGTTGTTCCTGTTGTTAGTTAGTGTATCGTCTTGATGATCAGTCTACCTCTGCCTTTGTTTTTGTACTTTGGTTCATGGATCAGTGTCTGCTTGTGTTATTTTGGTTCATTCTTTATTCTGTTCTGGTTTCATGATCTGTCTCACCTTCCTGTTTTTTTCTTTCTGCCCTGTTAACTGTGTCTGCCTGCCTGTATCTGATTAGTCCTGATCCCCTCACCTGTGTTGCTCCCACCCCGCTCGTTAGTCCCTGTGTATATATATGCCTGCTTGTGTCTCCAGTCTTTGTCATGTTCTTGCGTCTAATGTTGAGTGGTCCTGTCTGTTGCTTTGTTTCATGGATCCTTTCCTTGCATTTGGATTGTTTTCTCTGCCCTGTTCTGGATTTTACTCTGCCTTTTTGGAGATGCCTTTGTTTGGACCTTTTGGCTGCTGTGCTCATGGTTAAGCCTGTTTAAGCTGCTGAATAAATCTTTTGTTTGAACTGTATCCTCCTTGCTGTGATCTGCGTTTGGGTCCTCACCTCAGTCTGCACTCAGCCTCCCCCCCTTGACAAAGTCCTTTTTAATGTGCATCAGTTACGCTCAATTGAAAGGCATCAGTGACAGCAAGGCATTTAGTTTAGCTCTGTGGCATATCTTTCGAGTCCACTTACTGTCCAGACATCATAATCCAGATGAGAAAAGCTCTGACATAATCATACTGTCACTGTGCCATTGCAGCAACAAATACTTGCAAGTGCTTTGGGGAGATTTTATGCTCTAATTTCTTTCTCTCAGACAACGTAGAGTTAAACTGATAAATCATGTGGATCTCTATACTATATATCATTTTGGATAGATATTGCAGCACAAAATATATTAATTTATAAACTGTTGCCATTACATGTTTTCTCCAATGGACAGTACTGTTAAGTTTATTTTTCAACAAAATGTTATGTCATGTATTTATGCAGAAAGGCAAAAATATGTTAGAGGTAACTTTTTGACATTAGCTGATAAACCATAATTGCTGTCGGCCTGAAAAATCCAGTATTGGTCAGGCTTTATACTACATGGGCCCACAGTCTGACAGATATTCCATCTGTTGAGCAGTGTGAAATCTGAGTAAACTGCAACTAACTTTAAAAGCATCATGCAACTTTTGACAACTTTATAAAGCTTGATCCATCCAATTTTTTTTTTTCTGTACCGGCTTCACATTCACATCATGCTGCTGTGGTTCACATAATTTACAAATGGTCTCACAGATCTGCATGGATGTAATCCAGAAAACCACCTCTAAAGTTCCAGATGCTCCCTCAGAAATATACATCCAATGTGGCCACAGGCTTCAGTCTTTCATTAGCCCTGTCTCCTAGAAATAATTTTCATATGCTAGTGGGTTTTCCAAATACATTTAGATGGAAAGAAAATTACTTCCTGGATTTTGTTACATGGAATCATTTTTTGAGTTGTAAGAAGGACTACCTTTTTTAACCCTATGCAGTTACATTACAGTATCAGTATGAGTCATCTGCAGAAAAGTATATCACTCCAGTTAGGGCTGACCCAGAATAGTCGAAAGATTCAATGGGTCGATGGGCAGAGCATGATTCGACTGTCGATCTCACAGTAGAAGCATGCCATTTTGCTCAACGTCTGATTTTTACATAGAACGACCAGTTTTCTCCCAATAATTTTAATATACTGTACAACCTATTAACAATATGCATTTCAATGTTTAATGCTGTAAATAAACAAGTAAAAAGAATAAAACTTTCAATAAATGTTTTTAAAGTGTCTAAATAAATCCAAAATTGTAACCCTAATCCTGAGTGGAATAAACTGCAGCTCTGCAGCTTCTCAAGATTAAAGTGGAGCTACCATGTCCCAACACACAGCTCTGCCTGCTGCCAGTCACAAAACCACCTCCAGAGTTTTAGATGCCTCATACACATAACTATTACTCATTTCAACACAACACAAAGAAATCTGTCCTCATTTTTGTTCATTTATTTGATCTTCTTCAGATGCTCTAAAGCTTCCCTCTGTGTCAGTGAGTCCCTCTGCTGAGATAGTGGAGGGCAGTTCAGTGACTCTGACCTGCAGCAGTGATGCTAACCCAGCAGCTAATTATACCTGGTACAAGGAGAATGAAGACTCACCAAAAGCATCAGGACAGAACTTCACCATCACTGACTTCAGAGCTGAACACAGTGGGAATTATTACTGTGAAGCCCAGAACAGAAGAGGACGTCATAACTCCACCTTACATCTGATAGTTGTGGCAGGTACGTTTTGCAGCTGCACTCACAGTTTTCATTGAAGGCAGGAAATTGTGGACCTCAGCTGGGGATATTAGTAAGGGGAAGAAGCACTTTGAGAAGTTTCTTAGTTTAGCTCTGTGGCATATCTTTCATAACAGAGTCCACTGAGACCGGATGAGAAAAGCTGACATTACAGCAACAAATACTGGCAAATTGTTAATTACATGCTTTTGTCCACTGGACAGTACTACTAAATTTATTTTTCAACAAAGTTATGTATTTATGCAGAAATGCAAAAATATGTTAGGTCATTTTTTAACATTATAAACCATAATTGCTGTCGGCCTGAAATCCAGTATTGGTCAGGCTTTATACTACATGGAACGTCACCTCTCTGTGGGGGAAGGAGATGGAGCGCTACCAATTATATCTGGTGGGGCTGACCTCCACGCACAGTCTCGGTTCTGGAACCGTACTCCTTGATAGGGGATGTACACTATTCTTCTCTGAGGTTACTCAAGGTGTGAGGCGCAAGTGGTGCAGGTGTGGGGATACTCACAAGTCCCCGGCTGATCACTGCTACGTTGGAGTTTACTCCGGTGAACGAGAGGGTCCCTACGCCTTCGGGTACTGGGGGGGAAAACTCCGACTGTTGTTTGTGCATATGCACCAAGTAGCAGTTTAGAGTATTCGGCCTTCTTGGAGACCCTGAATGGAGTTCTGTATGGGGCTCCAGTAGAGGACTCCATAGTTCTGCTGGGAGACTTCAACGCGCATGTGGGCAATGATGGAGATACCTGGAATGGCGTGATTGGGAGGTACGGCCCCCCTGATCTGAACCCGAGTGGGTGTTTGTTGTTAGACTTCTGTGCTAGTCATGGATTGTCTATAACACCATGTTCGAGCATAAGGATGCTCATAAGTGTAATTGGTACCAGAGCACCCTAGGCCGAAGATCAATGATCGATTTTTTTATCATTTCATCTGATTTGAGGCAGCATGTTTCGGACACTCGGGTGAAGAGAGGGGCAGATCTGTCAACTGATCACCATCTGGTGGTGAGTTGGGTCAGGGGGTGGGGGAAGACTCTGGACAGACCTGGTAAGCCCAAACAGGTAGTGCGGGTGAACTGGGAACGTCTGGAGGAGGCCCCTGTCTGTGAGATCTTCAACTCAAACCTCCGGCGGAGCTTTTCTGGCATCCCTGTGGAGGTTGGGGACATTGAACAGGAGTGGGCAATGTTCAAAACCTCTATTGCTGAAGCTGCAGCGGAAAGCTGTGGTCTCAAGGTCTTAGGTGCCTCAAGGGGCGGTAACCCTCGAACACCGTGGTGGACACCGGTGATCAGGGAAGCCGTCCGACTTAAGAAGGAGGCCTTCCGAGATGTGTTATCTCGGAGGACTCCGGAGGCGGTTGCAAGGTACCGACGGGCCCGAAGGACTGCAGCCTCTGCTGTGGCAGATGGAAAGCAGCGGGTGTGGGAGAAGTTTGGAGTAGACATGGAGAAGGACTTTCGGTCGGCACCAAAGTGTTTCTGGAGAACTGTCCGCCATCTCAGGAGGGGGAAGCGGGGAACCGTCCAAGCTGTGTACAGTAAGGATGGGACCCTGCTGACCTCAACTGGGGAGGTAATTGGGCGGTGGAAGGAACACTTTGAGGAACTCCTAAATCCGACTGACACGCCCTCTTTAGTAGAGGCAGAGCTCAAGGCTGATGGGGGATTCTTGTCAATTTCCCTGGTGGAAGTCACTGAGGTAGTCAAACAACTCCACAGTGGCAAAGCCCCAGGGATTGATGAGATCCGCCCAGAAATGCTAAAAGCTTTGGGTGTGGAGGGGCTGTCTTGGATGACACGTCTCTTTAACATTGTGTGGAAGTCGGGTACAGTGCCCAAGGAGTGGCAGACTGGGGTGGTGGTTCCCCTGTTCAAAAAGGGGGACCAGAGAGTGTGTGCCAATTACAGGGGTATCACACTATATATGTATAGATATCATCTATATATGTAAAGATATATCTATCTATATATCTAAACATATACACAGATAAGTAAAAAAATTATTGTTAAAGTAAATGTCCCTTAGTTCAGTTTTACATTATAGGAGGAAGTGCATCTCTGTCTGAACCTTTACCTTTCAAACAGTGACCATATTTTTTATTTGTCCAATGAAGGTTAAGGTCAAGGGCAGCTGGACTTGGTTGAAGATACTAGAAGACGTTTCATCCCTCATCAAAGAGACTTCTTCAGTTCTGACTGGAAACTCAGCTATTTAATCTCTGGGATCATTAGCTAGGATCGTCGATACCACTACACAAACGCATGGCTCAACACAGAAGGTCTAATGCGCAATTTATACTTCTGCGTTGAATCGACGGGGTAGCCTCTGCGTATCCACCTACCCTACGCCGTAGCCTGACGTGCACCTCCTCAAAGATGTAACTACATGTCACATCAACACAGACCGTAAGCACTGTGATTGGTCGGCTGGGTAGCCTCGCAATGCCTCCGAGCCGACCGGAAGTGCCCCGTGCTTTGTAGTAACTTTTACTAGTGGCCAAAACAGCGGCTGTAACACGGTGGATCGATATATTTGACCGTCACAACCCGAGTGAAATGACTCGTTTCCCTATCAGAATGCGATCCATTCGGTTCATAAGATTTGAAAAGGCTACACCAGGCGCACGTATACAATTTTACTCCCCTACACGTTAGCAGAGCGCTAAACCAGACGTTGGCCTGCTTGGCCGGCAAAAGTCAACACTGGGAGCTGTAGCGCTATTGCAGACTAGCGTTTGGGGGTTGAATTGCAGAACGACGGGGACACCGATGCACAAGTATAAATGCATGGCTACGTGTGCAGCCTACGACGTAGGTACGCACGTAGACTCAGCAGTTTATTTACATCTGAAGGACACTCGTTTGAGGATCACCAGGTGAAACTTTTTGGACAGAAGATGGAGGGTTTGAAAGAGGTGTCAGGGAATCCATTTACACCCGGGTTGAGAAGCTGCCATTGAACAGTGGAGGGGGTCTATGCTACCACTCATCCCCCACTTACAATGCTGTTCTGTCATCACTTCCCAGGAAATTAAACAAGCATTTCCTCTTGGCCTCAGTTGAGGATGTCAACGATGGTCATTCAAACTTGGCCACGGCTGGTTCTAACGACCAAGACGACTGTCGTTACCACAGCCAGGAGCATTAACGAACCAGTGGTTTCAACGATCCTAGCTAACCAGTCAGTCAAAACTGAAGAAGTCCATTGTGCTTTTTCCCTGGGTAGGGTCTCTGAATGGCTGCTGGGCGTTTAGTTTGTGCATTGGAGTCCGGGGGAGGCATTTCCTCGTTGGCTTGGAGGGACCAGTTTGCGTCCCTGTTTTGCGTCGTTGGCCTCGGATCCATGCTTCCCCATTTCTCTGTCGGCCAGTTGTTGGACCCCTCTGGATACTGAGGTATATAGTTAGTTTTCGGGATGTGCAGTGTGGGTGCGGGGCAGGGCTGTGCTCTGATTTGTTCTGGGTTTGTGCCTGGAGTTCTCCGCCCTTGACGGGTAGGTGGCTTGGTGGTGGCATGCAGCTGAGCTAGTTGATTTTGCCTCGTTGCTGGTTTGGCTGATGTTGCACGGCGGCCGGGGGGCGTGCTGGGCATGGGGGATGTCGGCTGGCGCTGGTGGCCTAAGTTTTTTTCCGGCGGTTGGGGGTACGGCGGACTTTTATTGGCGGGTGCATGGTGACCTGTGCGGCGCGTTTGCTGCCGGGCTGGGACTTGCAGCTGGTGTTTCTCTCCGCTGGCTTTCGCTGTTGTGTTATTCCGCTTGCTCTCTGGTGGGTGGGAGCACTGGTCATTGTTGTGTGCACGCCGCGGTCCGTCCGGGTGCTGCTCTTCCACGGGATACACCTCTTGCGTTCCGTCAGGATTACGTTGTCAACTGGCATTTGGGTCGGGGTCTTCCGCGTTTGCATCGCGGTGCATCTGGGAGTCTTTGTTTTTTTTGATTGATTTAAAAAAAAAAAAATCTTTCTCCAACCCCTATTGGCTACTGGGGTTCTTGCCTGACTGTTGCTGGGGTAGGTGTGGCACAGTCGTGGTATCCCACTCAACAACTACATTCTTTAACAGGCTTATGCGCGCACACACATGTACACACACACATACAGACACACACAGTCTCACACATAGACACAAACAAATTTAGGTTGTCCCTGGTAGAATTAGTCTTAGCTTTTCTTTCAGTTACTTATTTAAATTAATTGCTATTATTCCAGCTCTCGTTGCTGTGCTGTGTTGCTTATTTAGTGTGCGTGACTGTTTCTTGTTTTCATTTTTCTCTTAGTTGTCTTACTATGTCAGCTGTTTATTGCTGCTGTTCGGCTGGTTGTCTTTTACTATTATTATTATTTTTATCATTTGTTTTTGTTTGTGTTTTTTTGTTGTTGTTTTTCTCCTCCCTAAGCCCCCCTCTCTGTTCTATTGCAGGTTTCGTTGCTTTCTGTAATTGGTGTTTCCCTCTGCTTTTCCCTGTTGTCCACACCTTCCATCCCCTTCTCTTACAGGTCTTGTCCTTTCTCTGTGCTGTCTGTTTGTGCCTCCCTATCCCCGTGTCTGCCCCCCTGTCCGGCCCGGTGACAAATCAATACATAATTAAAACAGACAAAGGAGTATATTAATACTCTCTTGTTAAAGTAAAATCTGTCTGGCACAATATGGTATCCAGCTCATCATACTCTATAGCAGGCTGCTGGGCAGGACAGGTTTAAAAAAAAACCTGAAGAAGTCTCTTGGATGAGGGACGAAACGTCTTATAGTATCTTCAACAAAGTCCAGTTTCCCTTTAATTTAACCATCTTTGGATAAGTATGACCTGGATGACTGAGAACCTTCACAGACATTTTTTATTTGGTTACCCTGATTTCTTATTTTCATTTTCTTTCTTTTTTGATTGCCAGTTTGTGGTCACTGAGCCTGTATTTGGTTCAGGTCTGTCTCTGCTTTCTATCTTTGACAGTAGAGAAATAATAATCTCTTTTTAGGGCCAGATAAGATTCTGATCTACTTTGGCTTTTAGTTTCTTCTTTCTAACATTCTAAAGAGGTTTATTTACACTATTATAATTTTCTTGTGTTGAAAGCAGTGTTACTCTATGGGAGCAATGGGTCCAAACATGCTGTAACACTTTAATTTACTGTCTGTGTTTTCTTTTGTTCCCTGCTTCTCAGGAGCAGGGAAATTAGCAGTTGCTACAACAATCACTGTTGTTCTCCTGGTTATCATTTCCCTCTGTCTCTTCCTGTGGATCAGGTGAGCAGCTCTGTTTCACTGAATCATTGAATGTTAAATCATTGAAGGTCAGTTTGTCCAATCCTAAAACGTTCAGTCATTTATTTTCTTATTTATTCTCCTAACCAGGAAAAAGAGGGCTTCCAAGGAATCGTCTAAGCCTGAAGAGAGACCAGACAACAGGGAACAGGTGAGAATAGTCACGGATCTTATTCAAGAACAAAAGTCACTCACTCTTTAAGTGCTTCTGGAAAATTAATCTGACTGAGAAGGACTTCATGTTGCTCTTTTTTCAACATCCTTCTTCACAGAAATGAATTTCTAAAACGCTCTCTGTGATTCTCCTCTTTTCTCGGATGTGACTAAATTCCTAGTAGATCCAGAAGCTTTCCTACTTTTTGTCCTTTCCTTGTAAATTCCTTTACTTAGCTCTTTTCTGTAATGCACGGTGAAGCAGGAATATTTGTTCCATTATTACCACAGCTGTAGTTGCTTCAGTCTTACTGCAATCATCTGTAAGAATTCACTATTCAAATGAAAAACCCACTCATGTAAAATATGTCTGTGCAGTTTCTACCTGAACAGCCAGAGGAGCAGGATAACCTTCAGTATGCCAGCACTCACTTCACCAACAACCAGGCAGATCCTCTCTACTCCGACATCAGACCAGCTCACTCCCTCAGACACACAGAGCAACAAGATTTCATGGACTATGCTGCTGTCATATTTAAGAGTAATACTGCCCCGAGGTGAGCAGCTCTTCTCACAGAAACATTATCCTCACTACAATTGCTGTAGTCAAGACCAAGACCAGAGTTTATTGAGACTGAAACTAGTGCTGGCAAGCTCGACTCTTTTGACAGACTTGTTCATTCAAATCTCGTTCATTAAAATGAACTAACCTTTTTTGAGTCATTTCGTTCATTTGAACTATGCTGGTTATTGTGGCACTGCAGCCCTCTAGTGGGCGATTAAAAAACAGCGCCGTTCTGAAACATGGAAGGCTGCCTGGTTTGCGTTGTTTGACAAAGTATAATGCACAAATTCACCTCTTTATTACTGTATGTCATCATTATATAAAATTCAACCAATTTAATAATAATCTGGATCAAGCCGCCAAGTTCTTAAAGAACTCCAGCACAGAGAGAGGAACAAAGAAATATACTGCAAGCAGCGTTGGGCGGGCCCTCGCACTTGTAGCGCGTCCGGGTGTGAGCCAGCCGCGTTGCATATTCTGGAGCTCTGCCGGTGCGGCTGTGAATTTGCTACGTGGTTCCGACGCTGCATGAAGGTGTTAAATGTCACTTCCTGTGCCCCCTATGTGGCGCTACATAGCACTTGCCGCTATGAATATAAATCGGTATTGGTGTGTAGATGTCTTCGGGATGGGAGAGTTATCAAGCACGTAAAGTTTTGTTCAGATGTGATCATGTACACTGAAGTTACAACAACTTCTTGTGTCATGGCGAAGAGTTTATCTTTGACGGCATGCCACGGACACGCCCATTGACGAAAACTCACAGATAGCGCAACTTTTCATCGTCAATGCCTTTAGAAGGCACAGCAGAAATTCGAAGTCGATCGGACTAAATAATAAAGTAAAGAGTGTGTAAATCATCCAAAAATTGCAGTAAAATTCAAAATGGCCGACTTCCTGTTGGGTTTAGGGCATCGCTCCAAGAGGCTTTTTGGTACGTCTGGACATGATACATGTGCCACAGAAATTTCATACATGTAGGTCAAACGTGCGGCGGGGGCTGCTTCATTAAAGGTCACTTCCTGTTGCCAACAGGTGGCGCTATGACTGTGGGTGAATGTCGGCATGTACATGTGTTCAGGGCGGGACTCTCATCCTACATGTACATTTTATTGCAGATGATTTAGTGAGCATGTACACTGAAGTTATAATAACTTCCTGTTTCATGGCGAATCATCGATGCCACGGACACGCCCATTGACGAAAACTCACAAATAGCATCGTGAAGTCGATCGGACTAAATGCCAAGAGGAGTTTGTTAAAGTACGGAGTGTGTAAATCATCCAAAAATGGCCGAATTCCTGTTGAGTTTAGGATATGGGTTCTTGAGGCTTTTTTGTTTATGTAGGTTGAGCGTGGACGAGGGGCAAATTTTTTTCCAATTTTCTAGGTGGCGCTAGTGAGTAATTTTGCCACGCCCATGCGCGAAACCCATAAAATAAGATTTTTTTCACCACTTCTAACTGTGTGCAAAGTTTGGTGAGTTTTCGGGTATGTTTAGGCTCCCAAAATTGAGCTTACTTTGCAGAAAAAATAAAATAAATCTTTACAGTTTCAATAGGGACCTCGCACGGTTCTTCCTAGGGCCCTAATTAACACATATAAACGCAGCAATTTGGCAGGTCTGGATGCAGAATGGGCCACATCTCCACGATCTCTGGCAGACCTGGATCAGCTGTTAGCTGTTTACAGGGCTAACGTTGCTACGTGGCTGTTTAAATGTTTTAATGACCGGGTCTGTTTGTTTTGGAGAGGAGACGACCTTGGAGGTAATTCGGCTCCCGGTAGAACCCTGTCAGGGCTCTGAAGTGGACCCAGAACAACTCTCATCAGCTGTTAGCTGTAAACACTAGCAGGACTAAAGTTAGGGTGTGACTGTGTTAAAACTATAACTTAGCACAACATCACTACGCTGTTATAACGTTATGCTTTATAAAATGTTACAAAATAGATATTAGATATAATGTCAGTCCAGTGACTGTTACCCGACAGCCGACCTGCCTCTCATTCTCCGGCGCTGGCAGTCACTCAGCCTGCAGAGTGAACGAAAGACTGAGGAGGACCCATGTGAGCGCTGAACGAGTCGTTCATTCCTGCTGCACAGTAGGAGCTGTCAGGTGACAAATGAACGACTCAGACCCAGAGACCCACAGTTGAGAGTCGTGAACTAATCAATTCTGTTTCCTGTGCTGACGGAGCCCATGCACCTCCCGTGTGACGAGTGAACGTAAGAGTCCAAGATCCTTCACACATGCGTGAAAATGAACGAATCAATGAGACACCCGTTCCTCCCGAGTCATAACGAAACGTTCTTTGAACGACACAACACTAACTGGAACAAGACTTAAGGGCTGAGACCAAGTCGAGACCAAGACCAGTTCCCCACATTACATGACACACAATGAAATGTGGAACGAGATCATAGGTACTCCTGAAATTTATCTGAAAGATCCACATTCCCATTAAAACACCCGCATACAAACACTAAAAGCTGAAATCAACAAAAGCATCTTTATTCAACACTCCTTTTCCATGCTTACTATCGCAGGGAGGGGGAACATATTTTTAAGTAGGATTATCGGTTGCATTTGAAGCAATACGTTTTTTTGTAGTACTTGAGACCAAGACCGGTCTCGAGTACTACAACACTACTCACTGCAAGATTCAGATGACATAACAAATGCAATAAATGTGTTGATTTGTCATTTTCCCTCCTTTTTTATATTTTAAACTCTAAAACACTGTTGGGATATGATGGTAATTATATTTTTTCAAACAATATCTTCTGTTTTTTTCAGAACCAGAGGTCAGGAAACTGGAGAGGATCCAGCTGCATTGTACAGCACAGTCAACAAAACCTAATGACCAAAACAGATATTGCATTTACAAATTTACAAATGAATTATATGCCCTAGAGAAACTTACTTTGTTATTTACACTGCATGGGTCTGCTTTTTAGAATATGTAAAGTATTTTTTGCATTCACCTTTAAATATAATTTGTCTGACTTTTGTAACATTTAGTCTTTTCATGTAACATTTTATTAGTATTTGACCTGTATTTTATTAAAATAAACAGATTTTTTTTTGAAAAATAGGTCTTATACAGTTAATAAGACTGCATCATGTGACTTTTTTCCACACTGATGCAGCACATCAATTTGAACCCATGGTGTGCATCCAAGTGATTCATCAAACTGTGTTTTCTTCTGTTCCTGTTTAGTTTAGCATCACTGACAGACCCTAAACTCTAGACCCTAGACCACATTTACGATAAGATTTCCTTAGATGGTCTTTGTTGGTGGTTGGATGTTTTGAAGTGCCTCAAAACTAGTTTGTTACACTCTCTTAAATAGATAGAAAGTTCATAGTTTGTGTGACGAAGTGGGTTTGCTCACCACTTGTCCCATACAGGCCATTTGGTTATTTACCATAGCTTGTGTAAAAGTGCCCCACTTACGATCCCGGGTTGTTTGTGTTTGCATTATGTTACAGTCGACAGCAAAGTTAGTTTCAGTTCCATTTTATTAGTTTAAACATGGTTTAATTGTTTTCCTGTGTTAATACTTACAATTGTTTGTTCCTTTGTTCAGTTCCACCGTGCAGGATAATTGTTTGGGGAAGGGCCGGCCTAAGCATGGATGGTCATGGATGACATTACCGGGCCAAACCAAGTAGAGGGTTTTCTTTCTTTATAGGAATGTTTCTTTTGGTTGTTTTTGGGGGGGGGGGGGTGAGGCGGTGCTGCTGTGAACACGTGCCTCTTGTTAGCGTTGCTACAAGTTTGATGCGTTATTTTTTTTTAAGTCTTTTTGTTTGTTTGAATTGAATTATCCGGGAAAGTTTTCCTCCCCTGGAGGTTGGCCTTTTGACATGCAAAAACTAGAGACATCGCCTGGGGTTTGGTAAAGGGTCTGCAGAGACTCAATCAGACATGCATTGCTTAAGGACGCTGTAAAGGTGTCAACAGACACTTAGCAGGACAGCAAAAAGAAGTGTCCAATCCCTCTCCCTATAGGGTGCCTCAGGACATCAAAGTACCGGACTTCTGATCCCTTTTTCCCATAGAATGGCTGGGCCATAAAACACCACTCCTGTCTCTTCTTTTAGCTGATGCGCAAATGTCATAAGCCAGGAATGTGAAAGGGGTACTTAACAACTCTTTCCTTCTTGAGCAAAAACAATGTTTCATTATAAACTGTAATTCTCTTTAAATAATAATCCTTGCTAAGTTAGTAGTGGCGCTGCCTCTTAAGTTAGTAGTTATGTTACCTTGTTGTTGCTATCTGTTGTTGATATTGTTGCTGAAAAGAATCTAAATAAGTTAATTTTGCAGTGTTTTAATTTTCAGCAAGGTTAATGACATTCTTTCATTTTATGCGTAACCAGTGCTTGGTCACAATACTTTCTGACACTTCCTTTAGAAAAGATATGATAAAGAAATTTCATCCTATACTCTATTAATGTGCCAACTTGAATTTAATGTTAACTAACCAAATTCCACAGCTCCTAAGCAAAGATTGTCTTTGGGTTAATCCAAGCTATCGTCATGTAACCTGAGCTCCCCCAATTGGACAAAATAAGTATTACATGCCATCGTCTGAAATGATGAAATAGAACGTCTCGGGTTACGTATGTAACCCTTGTTCTCCGAGAAGGGGAACGAGACACTGCGTCGGTGACGGCACTATGGGAAAGCCTCTGGGCGTGGCAGGGCTGAAATCATGAAAAAACGAGATCAGTAACTCAGCTGCAGCTAAGCTGCTCGGGAGAAGGTTTTCTTCAACAAATGCTGAGTTTCTCTCTGACTCTTCCCCTCCTGCGGAGCCTGAAACAGCGGTCTGACGCAGCGTTTCATTTCCTCATTCATACTGTCGATACCAAAGCACAAACTGAACACATTCATTTGCAGAAGTTTTTGCAAACATCAAAGTCCCAGTTAGATATAGGTTCCGTACCCAAACATGATCTTCAACATGATCAATCTGTCATCAATGAAAGGACTGAGACAGCGACATTGTGGATTCATCCTCAGCACAGATAAAATCTATACGGGCTACTCTGTCCTTCTGTGTATCACTGTGACTCTGTGGACATTAAGACAGCAACAGTTACACTGAAACATTTAGTGGCCTACACTACTGCAGTAATCACTGTTTCAATCAAACTAATCTATATGCCTGTAGCCTAACTGATCAATGAACAATCATTTGTCATGTTTAGGGCTGTCCCTAAAGCTAAACTGAGGCTTATTTTTGACCTCTCCCCCCCCCCCCCTCTCTCTCCCTCCCTCCCTCCTGCCATTCACCGGTCTTGTGCAGAGTTTTACGAGCATGCCGTGCTGCCGACAACTGCATGCGCGTCGCGGTTCCTCGCGGGTCTAAAAACAATATAATATTCTTTGTGTGGTTCATCAACGGTGATAAATTATCCAAAAGTCCCGCGACAACTCGGCACAACACCGGTGAAGCTGGGGCTCCATCTTTTCAGCAAGTGTTCCTCTTCTGCCACCACACACATGACGACCCAGTGTTACAATGTTGGATTTATTTACGCACTTTAAAAACATTTATTGAAAGTGTTTTTCTTTACACATGTTTAGTTAAAGCATCAAACATTGAAATGTATATTGTAATTGGTTATATATTAACTTATTGTCAGAAAACTGGTGGTTCTATGTAAAATTAAACGTTGATACTAACATATAGACAAAATTGCATGTTTCGCTGCGAAGCTTCGAATCAGGCTCCACCCATAGAAGCATCGTATCTAAATGTGAAATGAGCATAATTTTTTTACAGAAAATAGGCTGGACGTCTAAAACATTACAGTCAGTTTGAACAGAGACACATTTTCAACTGCAAATGACCAAAATTATTATTACTGGGTCGGACTAATCATAGGTCCATGACTAAACTGTGTCTTATCTATATTTTCATCTTCAGTTATTGCCAGTGGTATTTTGTCCCTGTCAGGTTACAGGTGAATAAATATAATTAAAATCCAATGCAACATTACAGAAATTCAAGTCTGGTAAATGATGAATGAGCAGACTACGCTGAATAAAATGTATTATTGTTAACTAAGTGACTCCTTTCATCCTGTGATTTAAGAGAAACATCATGGTCCACGTTTTGAGCATCACTGGGTTAAAATAGAGGCTTATTTACCTGTTGCCATGGTGAATCGTGAATCAGATCCCCATTGATGATGCTTTTTTAAATTCCCCCCTGCACACGCAGGGACCCTGGATCAGCTATAATGATAATAATAATAACCTTTATTTAAGAGCACTCCAAAAACAGGTGATTCACAACTTTTCAAAAACAAGTTACAAAGTGCTTTAACAAGTGTAAAGACAATAATACCCACGAGACAATAATACAAAAACATTACAAGATAAAAGCATGAAAAACATTGAAAAGACTAAAATACACAGCTATATCTGATGTTATGGGGAAGGCCTTCAGTCAGCAGCCATACCACAAAGTAAATTTATTTTTTTAATTAAACGGATTTGATGACTTGATCTTTAAAACCTGATAGCTAGTCAACAATAGTTACGTCTGTGCCATCATCCCCTCCATGAGACTTCAGAGTTAGGGTGTATGATCTCCAACAAATATTTAATACAAGGTTTTAGTAAGCAAAAAGTAAATAAATGCTCCTCCGATTCCCCCCTAATGTCCTTTTCTATGTCTTAAATGAATGGACCGAAGCTGTTGCACCAACATTGATAAATATTCCTATTGTATCAATAAAAACTGAAACCCCTGATAAAATACGTTATTCTTTTTCAGTTCTAGTTACAGAGATACGTTTTTGTGACACTGCTTATCCAGGATAGCTGTTCCCAAAAACACGCTGGTACCTTGATCCTCTTTGTCTTACAGGATATTACATAGAACCTACACAAGTTGTCCAGTCTTGTGCCATGAAGAGCCGACAGTCTACAGGTTTTCTCCCCTCTGCCTCTAAAAGTCTTTAAAATGACATGAAAACCTGTAGACTGTTAATTCTCCATGGCAAAGGGTTTGACTCCCAACGCAGTTTTGTACATGTGCAGTAGTTCAGTTAAGTTTTACAAAAATAAATATATGAAAATAAGTTTGTTCTCTGATGTTTTGAATCTGATTTTGGTTTCTGATGTCATCTGTTTTTCAGTGGTACAGAGTCAGAATGGCTGGGGAGTGACTTACACTCCAACTCAGATCTGTGCCTTAAAAGGATCAACAGTGGACATAAAATGTACCTACACATATCCATCCAGCTTAAATAATCATAATACCAAAGTTCAGGAAACATTCTGGTTTACGAAAGAGGGTAATAATGTTCAAGTGGATCTGAAAACGGACCCAGAATATTCAAGTCGTGTGGAGTATATTTGTCAGAACAAACGCTGCACTCTGAGAATCACAGACCTGAGAGAGAGCGACTCAGCTGAGTACAAGTTCAGGTTCATAACAAACCAACCAGGTGGAAGATTTACTGTTTCACCTGGAGTCACTCTGTCTGTCACAGGTAACATTTTCATCTGAATATTTATCAATTTAGTTTCAAGTTTTCAACATCTCATGAAGGTTACTTGCATCTGTGTGCTTGTATGTGTTGACAGTTAGAAATGAAGATTTCTGTTATTCATGTATTCAGATCTGCAGGTGCAGGTGAGCAGATCAAAGTATTCTCCCTGGGCAGAGCTGAAGTGTCACAGCAGCTGTCATCTACCTGGCCATCCTTCCTACATCTGGTACAAGAACGGACAGAAAATTCAGGAAGAAACATCTACATATTCAGGCCCCTTTGATCCTGCAGGCAGTTTTTCCTGTGCTGTACGAGGATATGAGAAGTCCCGCTCTCCTTCAGTGTGTGAGTTTACATCCAGTCTTCCACTGACATGACACCATCTGGTGGAGTAGTGTAACTAATGCTGTATCATGAATATATGTGTCTTTAATGGGTGACAGTAATTGTGTGTGTGTTTGTGCAGTTTAGTTCACTCAAGCTTTTTGTTTTAATTTTTAAGCACTAGAG